TTTTTTTTTGTAAAGAAATGCAATTCAACGTTTAAGAAGATTTATTTCTTCACCTTTTCCACTCTGATCATTTCGGAAGATGCAACATTCATACAGTACACTTTCGTGTTCGAGTTGCTCATTGGCTAGTAATGGAAATTGAAGGAAAGTATTGAATATCTTAGTTTATTACGCATCTGATTCTGCAATTTTCATATCATTCCACTTCAATCTTATTTGTGCAATTTGTTTTGAAGGTTTCGCCGCAAAATTCATCCTCCCTAGAGTGGAACTAAATCATTACATTTTCATTATAATGATTTAGTTATGACTAGTGAACACATTCTGAAGATTTGGTTCCGATCTGTTCGATTGAACCCCAAAATCATCGCTCAATTCTTAGGGCTATAAATTTTTGTTATTCATTTTAATCAGACTGCAGCAAAAAGCATCGATAATATTCCACTTATTGGACAATGTTTTTACCAAGGTGCGCCGCGGAAGGATTCATCAGTATCCTCTCAAGAAAGTGCTCTCATTCAACAATCATAAAAATATCACAAGCATTGAAGATCCCAACGACTTATTGTGATTTGCTCAATGATTTCTTCATGTTGACCTACTTCTTCGAATTACTATCCTATGTTCCTAGTGACCTCACGTTATGCTCAGTCCAACGAATTGGCGCTCGCCATTTATTAAATTTAGAGCTGCTTACTTATTTGAAACTGATGGCGCAACCAATGCGGGTCGAGTACAATCCCAGCAGGTTTGCTACGTCCACCTGCCCGTTCAAAACACATTCAGATGAACATATGGTCAAAACGGATGCAATACACACAGGAGAGGGAAAGATAGGCTCGCGTCGATCTCCGACTATGAACACTACATCGTGCATCTCACCATGAATAGAGGCGACTCATGGTAAGGTGATTAACTGATGGGGCTACTCTGTTGCATTCTTGTAATCTTATTGAATTCATCAGGATATCTTTCGTTTTTTATCATTACAGTCTTTTCCCCCAACCATCTATCTATTATTAAGTGTTCTCCTTAATGCACAGTCTTACTCCTACTCTTCAGTTGTTCTCTCTTAGCCACCCAATCGTTACTGTTATTCCGGTATCAAGCATTCCTAGAATCACTTTATTTTGCGCTAATCAAATTCCTTTCTCATTCAGATTTTGATTTGTTGCATAATATGTCTCTATTTCGTTGAGCCGTTCTCTGCAAGAAGTTTGAAAGAAAGTGCGTACAACTGAGATCGTCCGATAAACCAAATACAGATCAGTACAATGTTGTTGACAAGTTATAAATCATCACTGCGTTGCAACTTGATGTTTCATTGGCGTTGGAAACTGAAAGTGCAACTGGTTTAAAGTGTGTGCAGTGCCATTCTTAACTCGGTTTACCGAATGGTGTTCCAACTGCTTGCGATATTGCATCTTCACTTGATATCGCGTAGAGGTGAAGGGTTAACGCAACCATCCAACAAATCACTATTTCAATGGCGGAATTCATCGTTCGAATTGTGCCATGCAACGAGTTTCAGGTTTGACGATGTTGCTACATGATTGTGATTGTAAAATGTGTGTGTGT